CCTGAACAGATTCTATATTGGTATAATTAAGAACTGAGGCAACAAGTAATCCAAGTAAGAAGCCAATCATAATTTCTGCTGTGCGCATAAATGGCGAACCAAATATCTCAATCACTATGATGGTCAAAAAGACAATGGAGCCCAATCCAATCCATTTTGCATCTCCAAAAGGATATTTCTGATAAGCGTATTGAGAAGACGGGCAAATGCTCAAACTGGATGGAAGGATAGCAGATATGTTTTCAACTCCAAGAGCTTCCAAATTAGAAACTGCTCTAGAGTAATTATAACAAGAACCGCTACCTCCTGCCCAATCTTGGAAACCTGATGCTACCAATGAAGCTCCAATCAACACCACAACGGAACCCGTCACGAGGGGAGGAAATACCCTTCTTAAAATTGTGAGAGGAAGAAAACTTATAGCAACCTCTAACCAGCAACAAACCATGATTGTGCCTAACATAGCTCCAAAGGCTTCAGGACAAGGACCTTCCAAGGAGCAGTTATATTCCCCATGCTTTCGAATAGTAGAAAATGCTGCTTGGGCCACCGGCAGGGTAGTGAAACTAGTACCAACTACACTAATAAGCCCAGTTCCTAGTTGATATCCAGTTTTTCTTATCTTCAATCCCGTTATCTGAATGATAGAGAGAATGCCTGAAGCAATAAGAGCAGAAGCAACCTATGAAGCAAAAAGACATCCATCATAGCCAAAATACAGCCACAAGAATCAACAAACCATATAGGTGCGATAAGAATCGTCCAAGTTCAAGTTGTTGCTTCCCGATCCAGATAGTATCAATGGAACCGTAACAATACCTCCCATCATTGCCTATAGAAAATTTTCAAAAGATAAACAAATAGCATTAGAAAAGAAGGCAAACCAAAGCATGCTGAAAGCCAACAATGGCTGCTGCCAAGATAGGCAGTTCTTCCTTATGTGCAAGAAAAGGAGGAGTTGTCTTAGAATGGAACAAATAGGGAATCCTTGGAGTAAAGAGTCTTCCATATTCATAATTCCCTATCCAACCATGAAGAGTTGTCACTTTTTGTACGATATGTTGATAAACTTGTTTCAATCTGTTTTTGCTTTTTGTCTGCATAAATGTGAATGAACAATTTCTTTTCCGTTAGTTGTGATTGAGATTTCTTGATATGCTCAAGCAATTCAGTCATGGAAAGACTCGAGTTCGAGTTGCAAAGGTCAGTATTGATAGTTACTTTTGTAACCCTATAAGGAAAGTATCAGAAAAAGGTCTCGAGACCATCGGCTACATACACGAAGCTGTTCCAAGAGTTTATGATAGAAGTATCGCTTGAAGGTGGTACTGAAGATTCCTTTCTACGTGGAGACAACACTCAAGTGAGTTGAAATTTTTCATGTTCAGTTTCTCTTTTATAGAATTTCTAGGTAGTGGCAACCGATACCTGTAAAAATATAGTTTATTGGGTGGCAAAACAGCATTCTTGTGAAACAGCAGAAAATCTTGCTTTAGAGATTGGTTGCTTTTTTTTGAAACAATATACGTTTCTTCAATCTGTAAACGTTCGTATTGAACGAGTGCCTTGGACAAGAGCTATCGTGGAAGGTAACAGACAGTTGACAAATTTTCTTTTTTGCTAAAGTTGTGATATTTGTCAGGAAAGAGTCATTCGCACGGCTTTGTAAGACAGGAAGATGAGTGTTCCTTTTCCAATGTATTTTGCAGCAGAGAGGTGGTTGGTAAAAGAGTTAAAGATGTTCACGATAAGGATCTTAAGGACGAGAATCTCTATCGGTTTACTCTTGTATCAGGAATTGATAAATGGAAGTTACTGAAAACAACGCGCAGTGGTTGGGAAGGTTTTATTAGAGATCAATTTACCACATTGCCTGAAACAAATGAAAGAATGTTGGCAACGGAATGTCGTATTTCGTGGACATATGCCAATGTATTCCGAAAGGACTTGGAAAGGTTGAACTTTTCAGCTATCCTTTCACAAGTGAAAGAAACGGTGAAAGAGACGCAAGTGGTGTCCTTTTCTTTCGGTCTTTGGTTATAATGACGTTGTTTTAGATTCTTTGGAGATAGCTTACGTGGCATCTACAGCCCAGGTGTTCAAAAGACTTTGTTCGAAATTGCCAAGCATGTCCTTTATAAAATCCCAGAAATTGATCAAGTAGGAAGCAATATTTTGAGATTCTTAAGTAACTTCAATTATATGATAGGTATCTTTGAGCATGCCAAATATTCACTATCTGCCAGCCAATTTGGAAGTTTTCTCAAACCATGGAATTGCGTTTGAAAATGATATTTATATCCCTACAGATGAGCCACATGGAATAATTCACGCAACTGTAACGAGAATTGCTCTTTCCAAGCTGTAAAATGATTCATTTGAGAATATATGGTGTTGACTCTGTTATTCCTTCTCTGTGAAGAACCCTTTCCAATCCTGTCTATTACCTCTTTTTAAATTTGACTAACACAGAGTGCAATAACCATCGTAAGTCTTATACCAGGGCAGATAGTGCCATTCATGACAATGCCCAAAATGTCACCAGAAGCAAAGAAGAGAGCACATAAACAGACCTTTCTTTGTTTCAAAGAAATTTGCCGTATCACGAATGGCGAAGCAATATGAAATAGAAACTTCAACTGTTGCTTGAACCGTGTTATCATTTTCGACATTTGGAAATACAATCGGTAAACATTGTAAGCAGAACTCCCTTGATATGAAACATATGTCTAGACAAAGCACCCAGTTGTTGTGTCCAAAAATTTTTACAGAGTTTCGACCTGTCCAATGACGATCCACAAGAATGGCTTTGGACATTGTGAAAATGATTGGCCAGAATAGAGAGCGATGGGTCGGTATTATCGAACACATTGGATTCAGGACGGAGAGATTCATTAGACAATTATGCAGTCGCGAGGGACGTCTATGCGAACCAGTAAGCATGTCGTGTAAATTACTGTTTCACTCAACAGTCTCAACATCAAAAGAGTTTTGGGGTGCTTGTAGGGACTGGCTGAACTTTTGAGTAGTTAAGCTTCAAAATTTGGGAAATAGAGAAGAATAGAAATGTTTATCAGCTTGAAAGTAGCTCTTCTAGTTGGTTTGTTTCTTACTCAGTTTACAATTCCTTGCATTTCAAAGGTGACTGCTGTTCCCACTGACATTCTTGTTCCTGGCAATGAAGCAGGCGTGATTGAGAGTTTGGAAAAGTCCGTCTTTGAGTTTCTAAATCTCACAGGTCTTGACCAAAGTTCAGTTTTGAAAATAGGGGACTTAGCGGTGGGTTCTTTGCAAGTACTCGGTCTTCTTTTGCAACATCGAGAAACTGGAGTGAACGAAACCTTTTCTACTCCTGGCGGTCTTCCCTGCAACACCCTTCAAAGGGCAGTTTGCTATTTTCATTTTGGAGCTGACATATGTTCAACTTTGGGCAGCTGTGGTCGATTTACTGGAGGAATTTGTAGCAATGACTATTTCATTGCCTGCGGTTTTTGCGTTTGTGGTAAAAACG